CCCCCAGCTCGCTCTCGGATGTCTCGGCTCCACTTCTCTCGAAGACCTGGCGTCAGTCTGCTGGGCTTTATTTTTTTGGGGCAAAAAAATCCTGCTCTGCTAACCGGCGGAGAGGGGTGGAGCAGCTCTTTCCAAGAAAGCCGCAATCTTTAGCAGTGAGACACTGCCCAAAAAAATCAAGTCCCACACATGCTCCCGTTTAGCAAAAAGAAATTGGATGGGAAGCCTGGAAAACCAGAGACGTCTCCTCCCAAGTAAAGCAGCTTACAGGCAGCTCTGAGTCCCAGTAAAGTGGGACACGGTCACAGCCCCACAGCCCAAACCCACCCCACGAGGGCTCAAAACCAGTCCCTGCCACTTATCTCCTGTATTTTACAGCCTGCGTGGCTGGTCGCGTCAGCTGAACCGGGCTTCGGCTCCCGCCCCGCGCCACTCCATCGATACCGTATTTCAAAACCCAGGCGGAGAAGCGGGGGAAGAGGCTGTGCAATCGCCTGGAAAACACATCGCTGAAGCAAGCTCAATCCAGTGGGCTGTCTCTTGGATTTAAGAGTTATTATTAATATACGGAGGTAAATATGGCTTTATGAGCTCCTGCCATACTCTGAGTACAATTCCACATTATAAATAAATAGTGAAGCAGTGAGCTAACAAAAACACCAATAAATAGCAACCCACCACAGAAGTATTTAAAAGCCCCTAGTGGGAGGCTCTGCAAGTTGCTGTTTGAAGACGGTGCAATTAAATATAATATAATATTGTGATAACAAATAGCGAGAGGTTGGGTGAGCTGCTCTCAGCAAATCCGTGGCGCTGCTGCTTCTCCGACAGCCATTTCTGGCGAGTTTAAGCTTTCGGTGAAGTGACAAGGAAGTTTCTATTTGTTATCCTTGGAAATTCAAGATGTTGTTCAGGCACTGACACACGTGTCTGGCTTTTTATCTGGGGACAGGTTGCTCATATGATGCTCCAGAAAAGTGCAGTACCCCTCAACCTGACAGACACTGGGAAATTTTGGGGGGATGGAGAGGTAGGGGCAGGGCTCGGGGTTCCCCGTGCTGACCCCATGCGTGGAGGGGTCTCGTGAGATGGACGGTGGCATGGAGAAGGGAGAGAGAACCGAGTGGCCGTGGGATAACCAGGGATTAAAGGCTCTGCCCAGCTGGTTCTCCAGCAGCTAGAGCTGGTCCTGCCCCACGTTTCAGCAGATGGGTGACCACCTTCCCATCAGCGGCACTGGGATGGTGCCCTCCATCACTCAAAGCTCAGGTGGTGCTGCCCAGGGCTTGTACCAGTGCTGCAGGGTACATCCATCCCAGCTGCGTGAGGGCTGGAGATGCATTAGGACCCACTCTACAAAATACAGCCCTAAATAAAACCTACATCTGGTCCAGAAGTGTTTGAGACATCATCCAGCTGCGGCCAAGCCAACAACAGATTTTGCTGCAAAAGATCCCAACCACATGTGTAACCAAAGAGTGCTTCACCCCAGAATTAATTCCTGGCTTCTTGAAAAAGAATACATACAAAAGTGGTTGTGATTACTTACCCTTTCTAAAGATTTGAGCAGGTTTTGTCTTTCTTTTAGCTTTTGGATACTGATGACTATTTTGTGTCTTGCGCCTTTGGTAACGTTCTGCAAAAACAGCACAAAGCCCGGCATTAACATTTCCACAGGACAGCCGGGTCAACCCAAACCCTTCCTCCCCTAAACAAAAAGGGCTGCTATAAATTAATCCAATTTCCGAGGGCAGGGATTAGCGGGGGACATAGAAAGGCACTTAGAGACTTGCTGAAGATAGAGTCTGTCCCTCCGCGGCACACCTCGCACAGCGAAAGCGAAGGTGCTGACCGGTCCCCTTCATCCCGAGGATAACACAGAGGTGGATCTGAAAGCGGGGACGTTTTCCAAGGTTAACAAGGGAATCGGTCACCAAAGCCCCACGGACTTTAAAGGAGCTGGGTACTGCAGACCGTGCCCCTGAAACTCCTGAACTTAATCCCAACTGCAAAGAAACCCAAGCGTGGCTCCCAGTGATGGGACGTTTGTGCTGGGACTCCAGTAAGACATCTGGGACGAGGCCTTTTTCAGGCACAATGTGGGTTTTTTGACTCCCCAAGACCCAATTTTCCTTTCTCTGTTTGCTTCCCAACCACCAGCGGGCAAAACGCCTTCCACGTGAAAACACAAAAAGAGGCGCTGGAGGCGTTGGGACCGCGACCAATCGCTTTACAACTGATGTGGGACATACTTGTGCCTCGAGCTGGCATTCGGTGAGGGCCATCATCTCCTCGTAGGTCATCTGCGAGAAGAGGGCAGCGTACTTGTGCAGCCGGAGGCTCTTCAGCCAGGCTGGGACATCTGCAGCACAAAAGTAAGGAGATGAGAGCGCCCGTTGAGTTCATGACATCGCTTAACCGTGGGCAATAGCATCGACAGCAACGCAAGGAGTTGATAGGTGCCATCCACCATCGCACCGGTGCTTCGGACACCTTACTGAACTTCACGGACCTTATGGAGGACATAGTGCTATGGATATGGATGGTAGGAGGAACCAGCCCCTGGGTGAGGACACGTCCTCAGAGGTTGGGTTTCTGGGGCTGAGCCACCAGGAATTAGCCCATGGGGAGCCGGTGTCGTGCCACCGCATGCCAAGCTCCTCGCTGCCCTTTTCCCAGGAACCACCGAAGGTAATGGTGGGGTCGAGCTTAGGACGAGCAAATGGCTGGTTTGCAGGTGGCAGACACGGATTTATGACGTGAGGGAAGATGGTATGTGCTGAAAATTTAAATGGCTGCTTAAAAAGAAATAAAAGAGACTTTTTTTTTTTTTGAGCATAGAAAAATGATGTGCCATCAAAGATCGTCCCACAGCTTGTTTCAGAAGGGTGACTTGGGACCTCAAAATGCACCGACTGAAATGACTTCTTCCTTCCCAGTTGTTATCTGCAGTGTAGCACCTCTGTCCCCGGCTGGATGGGTACCCAAAAATACTTTTATCCTCCTGACATCGATGCGGTTTCACAGGGAGGGACCTGGGAGGGGAATCCTTCCTCTGCAACATGCAAAACCCCACCAGACCCCATGACGGGGTGTCCTCCATGGAGAAGGCAATGGGAAGCAAGCCTCCCCCACTCCAGCCTGCTCAGCAGCTACTTGGGGTTTCATAGGTTCGGGGGGGCCCGTGGTGACACCCCACAGGGGAGGGGGAGCCCTGCAGATACCTGTGCTGCTGCAGTGCCCGTGATGACGCTTTTGCTTTGCATCCTAAAGACTCCGAATGCTGTGCCAAATCAGGACCTGCTTTATTTAGCACCTACCACCCGACAGCAGCTCTGCCGTAGCCTACCGAGCTCACGCGCTCCGCTCCCCGCAATACCCTTGTCCATTAGTCCTTGTCTCCTTCCTGGCCGGTGAGACACCCGGGAGCCCCGTTTCAACCCACACCGGGTGCAGTAACAATGAAAAACCAGTGTTTCAGCCCCAAAAAGCACCAAACCCAACACCATGAATGGAGAGAGCAGGTGGAGGCTCAGGAAATGTCTCTTTTGGGGCTAAATACCAGTTAGCAGCAACATCTCCCCTCTCTTTGATCGTTCCCGGATTGATATAGGGGTACGTGTCGAGTGGGTGGTGGGACCCCACGTCCCACGGCAGGCAGGAGAGCCCGAGGGGAAGGAGTGATGGTTGGCGATGAGGCTGCCTCGATGGGGCTCCTCTGCCCAACGTGCCCACCGAGTTGGGAGGAGGAATGGGGGCTTGCACTGTTTTCGGGAGGGATTTGTACCCACTACGTGCTTCTGCTGCCAGGTTGGGGCTGCTGTGGGTGCTGGTGCTCTGCTCACCATCCCTGAGGCCAGCATGAGGACAACCTTCATGGCCATGTCCAATAACCATCATGAACGTAGCCAACCTTAAAGGTTTTCTAGGCTGATCTGACTGCAAAGAGTGAGGTCAGACTTGGTTCGGAAAGGGATGAGATGACACAAAGAGGACAGTCCCACTGCTGGGACATCCCGTGGTGTGGGTGGTCTCTGTCCAGAAAGCCCCACACTGCTGAGTACCAGATGCAAGTCACAGATCATCACAGACCTCTTCCCAAACCAACACCTTGTCGCTGGAGAGGACAGGGTAAGACAAAGCATTGGCGTGGACCCCTAAGGCAATTCTTACATCTGCCACAAGTCTCCTGCTGCCCACTGCCCGGGCTGACCCCAAACCCCACTCGCATCCCAGCAGGGGATGTGAACGGCCCCAAAACGCTGCGGTTTGCTCTCCGTCCTCTGACACACACCGGGATTCGCGTTTCAATGAAACTCCTCAAACGCTGCACAGAAGGAGATTGACCCCACACCAAACTCGGGGGCAAAGCAGTTACTGAGCACGGACAGGCCGAACTTTGCCGTTTTCCAAAAGTCCCGACATGCAACTGTCCTAAAACCTGCTACTGGAGGTCTCTTAAACCCATCTTCTGTTTAAAAAACCTAAAAGCTATCAGCAGAAAGCCCTGTTTCCAGCGTGGGACTGGCGGGATTGAATCTCAACTTCACTTTAACACAAAACCACACCATAAAGTGTCTACCTGATCCCATGTCCCCTGGGGACATCTGCCTTTGGTGCATGTCCGTGCCAATGGCAAAGCCCATGGAGATACCTTCAGAAGAGAGATGCAACTTCATATAGACACGAAACCCTGCAGAAAACCCATCTCCAACCTTCGCAGAGGGTCAGAGCTCAGAAGCAGCTCTTCTTTCCCTTTGCATCAGCCTCCCTGGACCACCTCCTAATTTTGGGGAGCTACGACGGTCCCAGGACCCCCTTGCCAGTGGGGATGGGGAGAAGGAGCTACCCCAGTACATAGAGGGATGGCGGTGGGGCTTCCCCCCTTCTCATGGAAAAGAGGCAACCAGGAGGTACAAGGTCATCTAAAGACAATTTCATGGTCCTTGGAAAGTCAAAATTCCTAACGCTCCCCACGGAGCAGTGAGCCACCCACCCGCAGAGCGACTCTTTAATCACCGATTACCGGGAGCTAATTGCAAAGTCATGGCACGGCCGGCAGAAACGCTGCGCCTGATGAGAGCAGCAAAGCGAGGACTTCACATACATCATCCCCTATAGGCATTAAATGCCAGAGTTTGGCCGGCATACGTATATCTGGGTGCTGGCATGGAAATTTAGAAGGAAAACAATTCACCCTGCCAATTATATCTATACAGAGGCCAATATAGACACAAGCCATCTGCAGAAGTGCCCTTATAGCACACCGTGCTAAGCCATGGATGTACTCGCAGCAGAAACCCCTAGCCCTACCCAAACCCCGGGAAGGGATGGATGGACGGACGGGTGGGCTCCGCAGGGAACAAAGTGTTTGCATTTCCCCCTGGAGAAACCAGGGGCTGGGAAAAAGCCAAAGGACACTTTTCCTTCAGCACGAAGATAGATGGAGAGAAACAGGTGACACCAGGGCATGAAGATAGATGGAAAGGAGAGAAATCGGTGATGTTAGGGGAGATGAAACACTAAGCCATGTTGGATGGGGGTTTAGTTGTGGGTTTGGTTTCCCCACTATCCTCCTGGAAGCCCCGAAGGGTGTTAAAGAAGGAGTAAAGCTGACCAGAAGTACGGGTGACACCGAGTCACGAGAGCCTGCCGGCGCTCGGAGAGACGTGGCTGCAATTCAGAGAAGGGACTTGGCAAACCGAGCAACCGGTCTGGATGAAATAAGATGCAACCCAATAAAAATGCACAAAGTTGTGTGTTTCTGTAGGAACAAGAAATGGCACGAAGCGAGGGCTGGGAACGGACAGTACTTTTTTTTGCAGGAAAGCTGTGGGGATACAACGGGTCACACACAGCCCAGGGTGGTGTGTTGTTGTTTGAGGACGATGAGCTATATGGCAAGTCTCTGCTCTGCTCCCGAGTCCAGTTTTGGGTGACACACCTTCAATAAAATATGGACTTTCTGGAAAAAAACCCGGCGGAGAGAAGCAAGAACAACCCCAAGTTTAGAAAACATCATCTGGGAAAAAACTGGATTGGTTCAGTCTGAAGAAAATACAGCGGAGCGGGGAGGACATGAGAGTCGTAGACACCAGAGACTGCCGACGTCTGTTTCGCACGTCCCCGGACAGCGGGACAAAAGCAAACTGGCTGACTCAGCGATGCGGGGGGATCAGGTTTAATGTTTGCAAACCTTCCTCCAAAGAAGAAGGATGCCCGGGAAGGGATGGCCCGAGGAAGGGCAGCCGTCTCCCTGGCGCGGGGCTGCATTCAGCAGCAACGGGCTGTCTTAATATCTGGAGTTTCTTTAATTGGTTATTGCTGGCGGACAGCTTGGGCAATAACACCTTTAAGTTTCGGAGATTTGGCCGTATAGATCGATTGCGTTGCCCTGGGAAGTTTCTATCTGTGCAGGTCTCGGAGCTGCAGCTGTGGGTCCCAGGGAGCCAAGCTCCCCACGGTCTCCTCCCCAGCTCCATCACCAGAACCCTGAAGAAATGTAGTGTTAAACAGACCCCTCTGCATCACTTGCTCCCAAAAAGAGCCGCTGAGAAGCAAAGCCCGGCTTTGCGAGGCCGCCGTGCTCAGAAAACTCTCCTGTCCCATCTACAGCCCATTGCCCCCACCCCAGAGCAACGCTACGGTGCAAAGTCCAGCCGGGGAGAGGGCTGAGCCCCCAGCATCTCTCCCACGGGGGAACCGTGTGGGGTTTTTTCATGCATTTCTATCAGGCACATCAAAGTCAGCGCCAAGGCCAACGCAGTTCCACATGACAGAGATTTACACGCATCTGCATTTGTCTGTAATTAGAATAAAATCAGACCTTGCGACTATTAAAAAAAATTCCTCGTTCCGATACATCGTTGGTCTTTACACAATTGAGTTGCTTTGCGTTAGGCAAAACTGCAGTTGTTTAAATCAGTCTCTGATAGCTGCGGGTTCATTTTCAGTCGTTTTGCCTGCTCACAGGAATCTAGTCTGAGTGTTTGCCCATTTTTTATCTATTTATTCCTCTAGAGCCTGAAGTTTGGTCTCCATCTTTGACCGCAGCAATAAGGTTTCCTTTCTGCCTTGTTTACTAACGGGTTCACACATATTTATTGCTAAAAGTCTCCGTGAAATGCAGGTGTAATGGCAAAATCAACTGAAACACACAGGATAAATTCACTGCATATAAGTATCCTAACCCAAAACTTCCCCAAACAGTCAGTGGGTACCAAACACCGCAATGGTAAATCACACGTGGCTTGCTAAACTTACGCTAAGCTATTTTTTACCGTAATAAAAAAGAAAGAGAAAAGAGCACCACTGGCAGCCAAAAGCCACAGGCTATGGAAAAAATCCAACTTTTTGGAAAGCTGGCAGCTTGCAGGATTTTGGGGCAAAACCAGCTCACCGGCACCCAACTGTCAGACGTCAGATCAGGACTAGCCGCTGCTTAAAAGAAAACCTAACGTATTCCCCTAAACCTAAATTCCTAAGCCAGGAAGAAACGTCGAAAGGCCCCATTCGGTTACGAGGACTCTCGCCCAAAACCGCCAACCGAGCCCCGCGCTGCCGGGATAATGGCTTTTCCCCTCCTGCCTCTGGGTGCTGGGGTCGGGGGGGAAAGGCATCTGGTTTTTCACTCACCTTTCATCCCACTCCCTTCCTCCTGGAATGTGTTACGAGCGGAAGGCTGATCTTCTAAATGTTCACTCCCACCACTTCCCGAAGAGGCTACACTGCTTTGTGGAGACAGGGGGGCATGATCGGAAGGGATGCACTGGGGTCCTCTAGCTCGTAAGTCCTCATGAGACATCCATCCATGTCCTAAAGGTTGGTTTGGCACATTCATGGGTGGGGTAAGGGACACAGAGCGTTTCAAAGGGCTGTGGTGTGTCTGGCCTGAGAGAACTGGAAAAAAAAAAAAAATAAAAAAAAAATCAAATCAAAGAGGTTATTCCCACCCCCCCTCGCGGCCCGGGATGCAGCAGAGTCCCCCGAAAAAAAAAAAAAATTAAAAATTTAATGAAATCATAAAATGGGTGGTGGTTGGCCACGGTGCCTCGCTGATGGCTTCGCAGTGCCCGCGGCTACCTGAACCCTACCCTGTGCTCTCGCTCTGCCTCCCGGGAAGCAAAGGGGATGGGAGCACCTGCAAGGAGATGGGGATACACGAGCTACGTCGGGTTGCTTAAGGAAAGGCGTTGCGTGGATAGCATCTCTGGGAAAAAAACCCAATCGAGCAGCTCTGGAGGTTTTCCCCCCGTGCGGAGTCACGTACCGACAGCAAAGCTGAGCACGGGACCGCGCTGGGTGCTGGGCTGCTGCCCCTCGCCAGCCCGGGAGCCGGGCAGTTGTCTTCCTCGCTGTTACTGCAGGTGTAATGGGAATTTTCAAGTGACTACACTGAGGTCATGAAACTCGCCCTCCTAAAATTATCCAGACCTGTATCTTTCTGGGAAAGGCATAAAAATTCCCAGGATGGGAATGTCCTCACAGAGACCCAGGGGAAGTTTCTCTGTCTCTCCCTTTGGGTTAGGACTTGGCTTATGCCCCGAAGCACGAGCTTTTATACATCTACCTAACGTCATCGTGGGGGTACTTATCATCCACAGAAATGTCTAAGCCTTGTTGAGTCCTACTAAGATCCTGCACTTAGTTGAGTTATCATCAGCAATGAGAGCATCCCAGCTCAGCCGCCCATCAGGTGCGTTTCCAAGCACATCCCTTTTGACCCTCCGCAAAAGCAAACACCCAAAGCAACGGTGAAAATACACCCATGACAAAGAGGTGAGGCTGAATCCAACCCCCCCCCCGAAAAGATCTTCGGAAGGCTTTGGATTTATTTTTCCTTCCCAGTTGTATACAGGTTTGTATTTCCTGGCTGAAATTTTGATACCATCAAGTTCAATTTGTTTTTAAAAAATAACTTAAAGACCGCTAGGAAAAGAGCAAGGCACCAACTCCTGTGATTTGGAGTTATTGCTCGAGAAAGGCTTTACAATGGGTAGGTATTTATTTGCCTTTCAGTCAAGTACAGAAATATGTCTTATGTAGGCTAAAGTATTAAAAAACCCCAAATCATAGAGTTTTGGACACTTTTTGACAGAAGCATTGCAACTTGAACAGATTTTTAAATACAATTTTTACGGAATGGTCTCCATTGTCCACTGCTCTTCTTCCATACCGTCTCATTAATTTTTAATTATCTCCTTAAAGGCTGAGATATGTTTTTCTCAGGTCTGTTGGTTAGCAGGGGTAATACATGGTATTTAGAAGAAAAGATGGATAAGGACAAACCATCTTTGTTTCCTGCAATGAAAAAGATATGAAAAGATTGGTCTGTTGGCTTAACAAAACTCAAATTCCTTCATTCACTAAACTGCCCGTTAAGCCATAAATGTAGTTAATGTATTTTAATGTACAGAGTTAGGATGTAAAACACTTATTTAATGTTTTCTTGCAGTTACTCGTGATGAAATTAGTTGAACTTCATGGGGGCTGTTTCCTGATAACTGAGACCTCCCAAAAAAATCTCTGGATTTAGGTGTCGCTGAGCTGAGCCGTGAATCATCGCCCACTGGGATGACTGGGACAAGTTCTGGATCCAGCGCGATGGGAAGATCCTTTCTGGTTTGCATCAAACCCAAGCCAAGGCTGCTGTTTTCAAGGTGGCCCTGGGTACAGAGGCGGGGGTTCACATCGCGGTGGCTAACGAAACAGCCGCGCTGGTCCGTGAACAAGGACTCGTTTCTAGAGACAAGGGCAAATTCTGCAGAAAGACATTAATTTCTCAAAATTAGCGGCTGTAAGCTTCATTGCGGGGTAGATGAAGTGAAAAGCAGATTTTCTACTCCAGGGAAATCTGAAGGCAGAGGGGTTAAAAATGACCTTTCAGCCCAGATGAAACTGAAGCAAAAACTCGTCGATTTTTCTTTCGAAATCAGATTTCTTATCTCTGTACAAAACCTGGAGGGAAATTCATCATTCTCACTGCTTCTCCTCCTAAAGCACCAAAGCTCCCTAACCCCCTTTTCTGCATCGGTCGGAGTTCATCAAAACCACTCGCGGCTCCTCCGCATGTTATTTCCTAATATAAACGAGTTCTTGGTGGAAAACCCCCAGCCAGGTGTACTGTGCTGGAAAAGTTAAGCCGGGTTTAATTCCCAGCTAAACCCTGGGGGAAAACCCACCATCAAAGCCATCTCTGCTGACCAGAGGCGGAATGAAAATGGGCAAGGAGCGGGGTTATAAAAAGAGGGGAGAGAAAAACACCAGAGCTTGTTTGCATTTATTAAGCACCTGTAAAAAGCAGCTGGTGCCACACGCAGCTGATGGATGAGGCCAAAAACCTGTGGATTTCCGCAAGGTCTAAATTGTTCCTATTTCTGAAAGCGTTTTCTTCCTCCAGCACGTAACACTAACACCACGCTGTGCAGGGAAGCGGGGGGATGCCTTATGGTGAAGAATTTGTTCCCTTCCCGTTAAATAACGACAGAAATATCTTTCAGAAGTCTCCTGGTAGAAACGGATGTCAACGAGGACCCGGGATTGTTTTCAGAGCAGTGTTACGTTTCTGAAAGTTGCGATGCATCCTGATGGGGAAATAGATGGATTTAAGAAGGTCTTGGCCACGTTATTTCAGCTCTTGGCTTTGCAATTGTACCCCAAAAGTAGCACCGTAACGGGGCTCTGTAGGTGTCACATCACTTTCTCAGGAGAAAAAAATACTTAGTACTTAAGAAAAAATTAAATATAGGAAAAAAACCCTGATACATCAGATGAAATGCATCACCAGGGCTGAGGATCGCAGCAGCGGCGCCCACAGCCCCTTCCGTGCCTGCTGCCCCCAGCCGCGGTGGCACAGCTCGGGGGATAGAAGCCAGCCCGAATTTGTTGTAGGAAAAACTCCGGTTTAGGAAATATTTGTGCCCTTTGAATGAATGAGAGATACAGGGGAAGGGGCAAGGAGGACGGGAGCGAATTTTCCCCTTTTAGGAGGCGAAGGGCTGCTCCGTTAGTCCTCCCTCTTAGAGGGTGTACGCAGCAGCTGGTACCCCGCAGCATTTAAGGCATCCTCTCCCCACCAAACTCTTGCAAACAAGGGGATATTTTTGGCTTAAATCCAGCCCAGATTCCTTCCTGAGCAGCGCTACCCTTGCAAACCGCTGCTCTTCCATCTTATTTTATGTCCCCTAATTAGAAGCCGGTGTCGGCTGGAGGAGAAATAATGAACTCCACAGGATGGCTCGGAACAGTTAGAAGTCATCCGGTGCAACATATAAAAATTAGTTCCACTTCTTTCCCTGAGATAACTCAATGCTGGAGTCCAACAGACCATGTTTTACTAAACCACAAGCATTTTTCCCGAACTGTGCCTCAATTCACACAACTTCACGAGATGCGGTAGGGATAATGCCTCTGCAAAGGATGCTACAAGCAGAAAAAGTCATCAGCTCTTTGAAACCACTCCGCCACGCTTGGTACCAAACGTAAGATTATTTAAGAGCTCTTAGCACTGGCCTAACTTTAGGCTCCGCTCAAGCCTTTCTGGCTGTAACAGACACTGGTGAGCAACACCGGTTTCTTGCAAACCCTCTTACCAGTTTCCATCAGTACTCCAGACTTAAAAATGCTGCAAACCTCGGGTCGGCACCTGCCTGGCGTGCACACACCTCTCCCTCTTTTAATGTGTAACCCTCAGAAAGGGGATTAATCAATATGCACATTTATTAATGCCCTCGGTTTCTTGAAATAGAGGATGTAGCTAATGACTTTCAAAGCATCGGTTTAGTGTAGGTCCTTCCCTGCTTCTGACAATCCTGTGGGCTTTTTGGACGGTCCAAGGCGAACCCAGGGCTACCGATGGCCGAGCTGGGACAAGTCACTTATTCGGTCTCTTGCTAATATAAATGGTCCACGTCTGCTTTAACTTCAGCAAAAGAAAACCAAGTGCAAGTTTATAACCTTATGCTCAAGCCTCTTTTTTTTTTTTTATTACAAAAATATTAAGCTTTAATTTAAAAGGAAATCTAATAATATTCTTCCAGGGTAAGATAAGTTTCCAGGAGGTGGCCAGAGGCACGCCTGCCTTTCTGAGTGCCGCGGCGGTGCGAACCGGCCGAACAAAGAGAGGAAACCACCGCTCTGAAGTGTCAACCCCACTGGCACACGGATCCCCTACAACTTGTAAGCGTGTCCCGCTTCTGGCTTAGAAGCGTTTTCCTGCCAGCCGCAGGCTCGTTTAAGCGGTGCAAGAGCCATCCGCTCCCCAGGGACCCACCAGTCATTTTGCAAGGGCACTGCCTGGTCCAGCTCCTTCCACCCGGGTATCTGATGGGACGGGGGCCAGAGCAGATCATGGTCCTCCCCACGATAAGCGGGCGCTTCGCTTCGCCACCGCGGCTCTGAACGGCCGTAGGGGTTGTGCTCAGCCCACGCCAGAGCGTGTTTCCTTGCAAGAAAGCTCCTCGTGGTCAGCTGCAATTCAGCAGATGCTGCTAAATATAACGGCTTTGAGATGAGCTTGGGATGTTTTCCATCCAAGGGAAAAAAGGCGATAAAGAACCCGGAGCTAAGGGTGCTGAGATGCACAAGGTGTTGCCAAAGCGTTCTCTGGCTTCAAACCAAGCTCGGCTTAATATTCCCAGGGGAAAAAAATGAAGAGGATGGAGAAGGAGTGACGGCGACGATGCAACCATCCCGGCGTGCGGGGCTTCCCATCGCAGGAGGTGGCTGCAGACCACGCTGCCGCAGGGATGGAGCAGCAAGGAGCATCCCTGGGGGGCTGCCACCTCCTTGGGCAAAACCGGCTTTATCACGGACCAAACACTGCCTGGGCCGGCAGGCACGACAACGTGCTTATAGAAACTCTGAGGCTGCAAGTGCTTTTCTCGTGAAGCCCTGGGTTT